CCCTTCACAATGCATTAAGCATGCAGGATGGCAATCATTACCAAATTTTGTCAAAGTTAGTGTTATATCTGATATGATTGGAGGCTACTTGGAGATGATTAGTTAGATGAGGTATGTTATTCAATGTAACATGTAGGCAGCTAAACTTTACAACACTCACCTGCAGGTAAGGAGTTGTGCACATGTTAGCGTCGATGTCAGCGCACCCCCCGGAAATCTAATTAGCATTTTTTTTTTATTCCCATCAAAATCAGTCTGTTTAAGCTAGAGATTTCTGTTTTTTTGCATGGGCTGCGTCTTAATCCACCACATCCGCTGATGTCGACATTCCGAATCTGTGGTGGAAGGTGGCAGAGGTACAGCGGTGTTTGTCAGAACAGGAGACATCCCGAAAATCTGCCTTCTTACGAAAAAGTCTGTAGCGGCCGAACGGAACATGATGATGTTCTCCGTTTTGCTCTACGACACCCACAAGCGTCACAGGACTTGTCTGAAGTCGGCACTGCCGATCTGCCAACATCTGTCTCTAGCGTCCAACCAGTTTGTGCTACACACTAAAGGTGTCTGCATAAAAGGTTTGGTTTGCTCCTAGCAGAACTCGGCTAGGCGAAGTGAACATCTGTGTCTTGCATACTCCCTTAAAGACCTTCACTTTAAAAAATGAGAAAAAAGCGACAATAGTACTGTTTGCCACTCTTGAGACGCCGTAGCCACTTCCTCAAAATAGTCAGAATGAATCTAAGATAACTCAAGAATTCTGTAACTAATCATGATCATTTTTGCCGAGGAGGTCTTAGTGGCGCAATTTTACATCTAACTAAGATGTTTGGTGCAGTATTTCTCAAGTGAAAAAAATTGCATGAAAACGAGTGACAACAACTTCATTGAAGAATCCCTACTGTTGACCAATAACTGACAAAGGGGCGTAGACTTCGGCTACTGAACTTCGGCTTGCCTCAGGAAAAAAAATGGTGTGCACGAACAGCCGAAAACACCCTTGCCGAAGACCAAAACTAACAAAAACATCACAAAATGTCGTCATAATATACTGTATGCACGAACTGTTATGGATGGGAAGCATGCAGACGCCTTAATATGAGCCAACCATAGAAAGATTGGACTCTCACGAACATGTCAGTTGTTTTGCTATAGGACGCCCACAAGCCTCACAAGACTTGTCTGAAGGTAGCCCGGGTCCAGTTAAAAAAATAATGGAAGTAAACTGTACAGTCGTGGTCAAAAGTTTTGAGAATGACACAAGTATTGGTCTTCACAAAGTTTGCTGCTTCAGTGTTTTTAGATATTTTTGTCAGATGTTACTATGGTATACTGAAGTATAATTACAAGCATTCCATAAGTGTCAAAGGCTTTTATTGACAATTACATTAAGTTTATGCAAATAGTCAATATTTGCAGTGTTGACCCTTCTTTTTCAAGATCTCTGCAATCCGCCCTGGCATGCTGTCAATTAACTTCTGGGCCACATCCTGACTGATGGCAGCCCATTCTTGCATAATCAATGCTTGGAGTTTGTCAGAATTTGTGGGGTTTTGTTTGTCCACCCGCCTCTTGAGGATTGACCACAAGTTCTCAATGGGATTAAGGTCTGGGGAGTTTCCTGGCCATGGACCCAAAATGTCGATGTTTTGTTCCCCGAGCCACTTAGTTATCACTTTTGCCTTATGGCAAGGTGCTCCATCATACTGGAAAAGGCATTGTTCATCACCAAACTGTTCTTGGATGGTTGGGAGAAGTTGCTCTCGGAGGATGTGTTGGTACCATTCTTTATTCATGGCTGTGTTCTTAGGCAAAATTGTGAGTGAGCCCACTCCCTTGGCTGAGAAGCAACCCCACACATGAATAGTCTCAGGATGCTTTACTGTTGGCATGACACAGGACTGATTGTAGCGCTCACCTTGTATTCTCCGGACAAGCTTTTTTCCGGATGCCCCAAACAATCGGAAAGGGGATTCATCAGAGAAAATGACTTTACCCCAGTCCTCAGCAGTCCAATCCCTGTACCTTTTGCAGAATATCAGTCTGTCCCTGATGTTTTTCCTGGAGAGAAGTGGCTTCCTCGCTGCCCTTCTTGACACCAGGCCATCCTCCAAAAGTCTTCACCTCACTGTGCGTGCAGATGCACTCACACCTGCCTGCTGCCATTCCTGAGCAAGCTCTGCACTGGTGGTGCCCCGATCCCGCAGCTGAATCAACTTTAGGAAACGGTCCTGGTGCTTGCTGGACTTTCTTGGGTGCCCTGAAGCCTTCTTCACAACAACTGAACCTCTCTCCTTGAAGTTCTTGATGATCCGATAAATTGTTGATTTAGGTGCAATCTTACTAGCAGCAATATCCTTGCCTGTGAAGCCCTTTTTGTGCAAAGCAATGATGACGGCACGTGTTTCCTTGCAGGTAACCATGGTTAACAGAGGAAGAACAATGATTTCAAGCACCACCCTCCTTTTAAAGCTTCCAGTCTGTTATTCTAACTCAATCAGCATGACAGAGTGATCTCCAGACTTGTCCTCGTCAACACTCTCACCTGTGTTAACGAGAGAATCACTGACATGATGTCAGCTGGTCCTTTTGTGGCAGGGCTGGAATGCAGTGGAAATGTTGTTTTGGGATTAAGTTCATTTTCATGGCAAAGAGGGACTTTGCAATTAATTGCAATTCTTCTGATCACTCTTCATAACATTCTGGAGTATATGCAAATTGCCATCATAAAAACTGAGGCAGCAGACTTTGTGAAAATTAATATTTGTGTCATTCTCAAAACTTTTCACCACGACTGTATATGGAAGTACTTTAGTGCCCCAAAAAAGAGTTAAATATGGTAATAAAAAATATCTCTCAGATACAGGACAGACACTTCAAAACATACTTCCTTTTGATTTATTTTTGACTGTTTTGCCATGTATGAATATGTTATTCAATGCGTTTCTATGGGCTAATAGCAGTAAGGCCAAATTCAATGTTTCATCAAATTATTTGTACATATTTTGGGGCGATACTTACAGGGGTATAAATTATCCTTGGTATGACGATCTTAAAACAACTACATATATTAGCTTAGTAGAAACCCAGCCCGGGCCCTTAGGGGGTTTAGTACTGAAAAAACATGAAACGTCATTGGTACAACAATATTTTAGTTTGGAGAGTTTGATTATCATGAGACTCATGAGTGCTTTTACATAAAAATGAATTAGTGATTATCAATGACTGTTGTTCAAATTCATTTCAGATGAATTACCCAACAATCCACCACTATCGCCACTCACTCACTCACTCACTCACTCACTCACTCACTCACTCACTCACTCACTCACTCACTCACTCACTCACTCACTCACTCACCCAGTGACACACCCCCACCCACAACCTTTGCGGGCGCCCTCCTCTATCCATGTCTCTAAACAACCCATCGCCAGTCATTCATGTCAAACTGTGAAGGATAATTTGGGGAACAGCCTTTTTATTAATAAAATGTGAACCGTGGGTTAGTTTCTCTTCATTTCAGTGCCACCATGGTGAACACCATGTTAAAAATAAAAAGCGACATCTTTTTAAAAGGAATATCATAATGAAGACAATTAAAACAAATCATATAAACTGGCATTAATGACCTCACAGCATTCTTATCAATCTCTCCCTCCAGGAATAAAAAATAAAGAAAAAATGGGCCAGGGTAAACAACAACTAAAACTGTGTAGTTATATCCACACTTTAGAAAGATATTTCCCATATATTTTGGTTTGGTTTGAAGGGGGGATTGTCTCAAGTTTTTTCCCTGTAGAGGAGCATCACGGCAATGCAACGACAATACATCTACTGAGGAGGAGAGTGAGAGCCTTCAAGACTCTACCTAGTGCACTGAGAATAGGGGTTCTGTCTGGACAAATGTTTTGGGGTGTCGTGAAGTGCAAACCATTATATCTCTGACCCTCCCTGTTCTAGCTAACTTCATCTACCACCCTGGCAAATTAGCAATGGTAAACTACACCTGAATACATAGCTGGGGTTTGTCCCGCCCTGTAAGTATACTAACATAGTTATTTTTTCATTACAGTACAGTATAGAGCAAATAGTATCAATATAATTTCCATAATCTTTTTTCATATTGCACCATCAGAGTATGGGACACAGAGAAAGATCAACAGAGACTCCATTTCCTAATCAAAATGAGATATGTGCAAACATGACTAAGGACTTTATTAACCAAATCAATTCTTCCCTGTAATATCCACAAATAAAAGTGATTTCTCTTTTTATATATATATATATTTATAGTAATAAGAATAATAAATCTTCACATTTGATCATTTCATAGTGTGACAAAAATGCTCAACTGGGCTGTCCAGTCGTGATCATAATCCTCTTAATCGTCTTTAATTGGTCAGTCCCCATGCATCCATAGGAAATAGATTATTTTCTTCAAAAAAGTAACAATTTGAGAGCAGCTGACAAGTTTGGACTGGTGTCGATTGCTTCCATTCCCAGATTTCTCCGAAGATTCATTCAGTGTTTTAGAGGAAGTTTCCATAGAAAAAAATGACAGGCTCCAAATTATTGTCTCACACTCAGGAAAAAAAGTTGTCCAGGTTCTTATTCAAATAGTGTAGTAATGGTAATAATTGATCATTTGTTATCAATAATTAATAATCATTAATAGTTGAGAACTAACAACAAATAATCACTGATTAATAATTAATGATTAACAATAATAATCAAGAATAAATAATGTTCCCTCATAACATAATTAGTTTGGCAAGCTCTGTGTGGAGTCATTTCAGATGAATGAATTTTCTCACAAGTTTAAAAAACAAAGAAAGAAAGCTCCAAAATAAATAAAAGAAGATTAGTAAAAGTTACCCCTCCTTTAAGAAGAAAGGGGACGTTATATACAGGACTGTGTGGTGAGAGTCAGTTTACTGCACTTGTAAGTGTAATAAGTCTAGTGTTAGTGTGAGTTTTAGTCCGGCCCCATGCCCCTGGTGTTATACCAGCGTGTAGGACTTTGCGTAGGGGTTGTTGGTCTGTTTGAGTTGTCCTCGTGAGTCCAGCAGGGACTCTTGGGAGGTGCTAAGCTTGGCGGCCTGGGCCAGCTCTGAGCCTTCTCTGTGGGGCAGGGTGGCTGCTGAGCCAGGCTGCCACTGGGCCACTGGGTCCCTGCTGCTGGCCCTGCTGCTGGCCTGGGGGGCCTCTGTGGGAGTAGGGGGCGCCATGCGTGACGGCCGTTTCAGGGAGCGACTCTTCTGGGGCTCCAAACAGGCCTGGCCCATGGCCCCCTCCCCCCCCGCGCCACCCCTCCCTCCAGTGCCCGAGCATGACATTCCACGGTTCAGTAGGAAGTCCATGCGCAGGTAAGGAGGCAGGTGCACTAGCTCGCCCCCTACAGGACAAAGGAAGGAAAGAGAGGGGAGTTAGTTATGATGCATTTTGTTTTATGGACAACAAACCCATTGAATACACATATGGCCAGTGGAATTATGGAAAAATCTCGGTTCAAAACACTTCAGTAAAGAGAAATGACTGCCCCTGGGGGAAAGGTTAGGTGAGATACAAGCTCCTCACATCTTCCACTCCAACCCACAAAACTAGGGTAGCTTATATGCCAAAGTCATCCATAGATTCTGACAGTCTATTAAAGTATACTGCTTTATAATAATAATAATAATAATAATAATAATAATAATAATATGCCATTTAGCAGACGCTTTTATCCAAAGCGACTTACAGTCATGCGTGCATACATGTTTGTGTATGGGTGGTCCCGGGGATCGAACCCACTACCCTGGCATTACAAGCGCCGTGCTCTACCAGCTGAGCTTTGTCTGGTTATTGAGGTAATATGCCAAAGAATACTTCAGTGGTTCATTATTCTCTGTGTTCTTCATCTGAATTAGGCCTTGACCAACATGAAATGAAATGGCAATATTTTACAATGTCATTAACCCCCCCCCCCCAGTGCAGTTCATTACAAATGTATCTGAGTAAAGTCTACAAAGCCTGAGTTTAATAAAATATATAACTATAATGAACCAAAACTATATAGAATTAATAAGATGAAGACTTAAACAAGAAGGCTGAATTTATAAGATGAAGTGACCTCATAGCAAGTGATCTCAAACAGGGACCTCACAGACTACAAGTGGCCTCAAACAGATTTAAGTGGTTCAATGTTCAAGCTTGGTCATCCTGCAATGGAGTTTTGTCAATAGAATAAGCTTAATTAAGTAATTCATATATTACCTTAATTAATACATTAATTTATGCAAATCATTGTCTGCAAAACTCCACATTTGTTGCTGCAAGTAGTTATATAGCATTACTAGGGTTGCAAACATTTTCAATAAATTCCCTGGTTTTCTAGAAATCCTTGTTGGAAGATTCCAGGTTTGCTGGAATCCCATCCAGGACTTCGGGAAAACCAGGGAATTTATTGAAAGTTCCCAGAATTTTGCAACCCTGAGCATTACTAGACCATTAGCTTCAGAACAGTTACATTTATATATCAGCAGTAAATATTTACGAACCCGAAACCCTGGGATATGTTCTGGTTGGCCTGACATTTACGAGGGAGAGGGAAATGGCCCTGAATTGATTAGTTTGGTCTGACTGACCAGCTTTGTGTTTTAAATGGCTATTACAGTTTGTTAGTTTTTATTGGCATATGAAGAACATAATACCTTGAAATGTTACGACACAGAGTTTTTCAATTCTGCTACAGTTCTACATACAGGTAACAGACCATAGACTAACCCCACAGTCTATCTATGAAGAAAGTATGTGTCAGATTTTAGGGTTAGGGTTAGGGTTAAGATTAGGGTAACAAGCCTGGTGAAGGCTAGCAAACGTTAGCGACAGAGCTCAGAGTTAGCTACAGCTACAGCTGAGTTAGCTATGTGTCTACGTGACCTCACCCGGTCTGTGAGCCTTGGGCGCGGCCATGTTCATTACTCGGCTGACGTCCTGAGGCTTGGGCGGGGAGGCAGTGAACCTGCAGATGCCTGACTCGGAGGGCGTGCTGGACGTCAGGCTGTCTGTGTAGTCATTGGTACCCGTCGTCATCTGCTCCGACGACGTATCCGAGATGAAGCACTCTGTGATGGTAAACTTGGCGTGCCGCAGCTGCTCCTCCATCTTGGCGTGCTCATAGGCCCGCGCCAGCTCCTCGTAGGTGGACGAGGCGCTCTCTGTGGACACCATGCTACTCCGTGCCCGGTCTACACCAGGGGTTAGGGTTAGAGGCCGTGTTAGTAGAGCAGTTAGGGGCTAACGCTAGCCTTAGCATTGTTATAAACTGTTGGCATGGTTGAAAGTTCTATAGTAGGCCGATCTGTTGTTTTTAAAGAGGTGAGAGGTGTTGTTATGGTTAAGGGTGATATTACAGGATATATGGGGACTGTTACAGCGGTTGTTACAGACTTGTCTCGTCTTCAGGTGCATTGTTACCTGTGTCCTGAGATGGGCTGACGCTGTAGCTGTCACTCTCCTTGTCCACAGAGCCGGCCACCCGTGGCGTGGGCAGTCTCCAGTCAGTGCTCAGGGTGTGGGCCGAGACTGGCGGGTGTGGTCGGTTCAGGGTCCACTGGCTAGCGTAGCGGTTGCGTGCGGCAGGGCCTGCTTTGGCTGTGCGGCGGGCTGTGGGATCTGACAAGGAAGGTTACAGGACGTTACATCACAGTAAGGTGTTATGTCACATAGCAAGGGTTCATCTTGAGTACTGCAATGCCCTGTTTTTTTAAGCTGACTGAGTGTTTTTAAGGGTGACAGTAAGTGTGTAGCTGGCAACAGCAATGACGGCTGGACACCCAATCCTCACATAAACCAACAAAAAGAAAACGCCCACCATCACAATATCTCACATGGAGTTAATCTCAGGACCTCTTGTGTTCACACAAATACATATAGCTTACAATAACAGTGAGAAAACGGTTTGATTGGGTTGACTGCAGTCCTCCACAAATATGTCCATTTTTGGTTGGATGCACTACACATACATAATCATTCATGTTTAGAATTTAAAATAATATTACAGCAATAACCACTGTGTTGAAAGTAATTGCTTATCAGTGTGAACAACATCAGTGGAGATGGTAGTGGCAGTGTTCATAATGCTTCTGATGACTCTCTGAGGACTGGAGCTGAATAAAACCAGTCTGTTGTCTGGAATCAACTCTACCTGTATACATTCCAGCTGTATGAATGCAATCCTTATCACACTTACTAATTCTAGCTCCACCGCTAGTAAAGTAAAGAGGATGTCCGTACTGGACTTACTGGTTCCTGGCCTAGCGTCAGATACGTCCACTAGAGGTCCGGTGGCCTGGGACAGGGACTGGTAGTGGACGGTGTGGGTAACCGTAGATGACTTCTGTTTCTGAGTCTCCCCAAAGTCATTGTCAGTCAGCAGCACTGTGGACCTGTCGTCTGAAAGAGAGAGAAACATTTCACAAACATGGTCACTACAGTACGATGAGAATAGCCACAGTAGGTACTACTACCACATGGAAGGCCACAGATATGTGATATTTACATATTGTTATCCAATGTTACACCAGTTTCCCACTCGTATTTCCTACTTGGAAGCTCATTATGAGTTTTGACATGTCCGGGAGCTTTCCGGGAGTTTCAGTCCCAAGTTTCCGATAATTCAGAGAACACATGAAAGCATCATAATGTATCAGAGTGTCCACTCACCGACTGTCTCCATGGTGTCTCTCTCCTCTATGAGCAGCTGGGCTCGGGGGATGTCGATGTGCATTCTAAGGGTCTGCTGCTGCTTGTTGATGGTGTCTGCAGGTCGTGTGTTTTTACTGCATGGGGAACACAGAAAACGTAATACACAGATTTGAATACAGATTTCATTACACTGCATCATATCTTCAGATACTGGTGATTCTGATATGATTCTATAGATACAGTATTGAATGTTTTTTTCTTCCAGTAATGCATTAGACAATAGTAACTATCTATAAAGTTATACAGTGAGGGAAAAAAGTATTTGATCCCCTGCTGATTTTGTACGTTTGCCCACTGACAAAGAAATGATCAGTCTATAATTTTAATGGTAGGTTTATTTGAACAGTGAGAGACAGAATAACAACAAAAAAATCCAGAAAAACGCATGTCAAAAATGTTATAAATTGATTTGCATTTTAATGAGGGAAATAAGTATTTGACCCCTCTGCAAAACATGACTTAGTACTTGGTGGCAAAACCCTTGTTGGCAATCACAGAGGTCAGACGTTTCTTGTAGTTGGCCACCAGGTTTGCACACATCTCAGGAGGGATTTTGTTCCACTACTCTTTGCAGATCTTCTCCAAGTCATTAAGGTTTCGAGGCTGACGTTTGGCAACTCGAACCTTCAGCTCCCTCCACAGATTTTCTATGGGATTAAGGTCTGGAGACTGGCTAGGCCACTCCAGGACCTTAATGTGCTTCTTCTTGAGCCACTCCTTTGTTGCCTTGGCCGTGTGTTTTGGGTCATAGTCATGCTGGAATACCCATCCACTACCCATTTTCAATGCCCTGGCTGAGGGAAGGAGGTTCTCACCCTAGATTTGACGGTACATGGCCCCGTCCATCGTCCCTTTGATGCAGTGAGGTTGTCCCGTCCCCTTAGCAGAAAAACACCCCCAAAGCATAATGTTTCCACCTCCATGTTTGACGGTGGGGATGGTGTTCTTGGGGTCATAGGCAGCATTCCTCCTCCTCCAAACAAGGCGAGTTGAGTTGATGCCAAAGAGCTCGATTTTGGTCTCATCTGACCACAACACTTTCACCCAGTTCTCCTCTGAATCATTCAGATGTTCATTGGCAAACTTCAGACGGGTCTGTATATGTGCTTTCTTGAGCAGGGGGACCTTACGGGCGTTGCAGGATTTCAGTCCTTCACGGCGTAGTGTGTTACCAATTGTTTTCTTGGTGACTATGGTCCCAGCTGCCTTGAGATCATTAACAAGATCCTCCCGTGTAGTTCTGGGCTGATACCTCACCATTCTCATGATCATTGCAACTCCACGAGGTGAGATCTTGCATGGAGCACCAGGCCGAGGGAGATTGACAGTTATTTTGTGTTTCTTCCATTTGCGAATAATCGCACCAACTGTTGTCACCTTCTCACCAAGCTGCTTGGCGATGGTCTTGTAGCCCATTCCAGCCTTGTGTAAGTCTACAATCTTGTCCCTGACATCCTTGGAGAGCTCTTTGGTCTTGGCCATGGTGGAGAGTTTGGAATCTGATTGATTGATTGCTTCTGTGGACAGGTGTCTTTTATACAGGTAACAAACTGAGATTAGGAGCACTCCCTTTAAGAGTGTGCTCCTAATCTCAGCTCGTTACCTGTATAAAAGACACCTGGGAGCCAGAAATCTTTCTGATTGAGAGGGGGTCAAATACTTATTTACCTCATTAAAATGCAAATCAATTTATAACATTTTTGACATGCGTTTTTCTGGATTTTTTTGTTGTTATTCTGTCTCTCACTGTTCAAATAAACCTACCATAAAAATTATAGACTGATCATTTCTTTGTCAGTGGGCAAACGTACAAAATCAGCAGGGGATCAAATACTTTTTTCCCTCACTGTACGTCAAACTGCTCATGCTTACCTCATCAGCATCTCTGCCAAACTTTTCGCATCTACAGAGCAAACAAGAACAAAAATCACACTACATACAGATGATACTCACACTATACTTGACAATAGTTAGACAATAGTTACAGAAATCTTACAGAAATCTAACCAATCAGGTGTTGCCCTGTTGCTGCTGTGACCTCTCACCTCTGAGCCTCTTCAGTCTCTGTTCCCTCCTTCTCCTCCTGAGGACTAGCAGCAGGACAAAGACCAGCACAATGCCCACCAGCACACAGGAGATGATGGTCACCATCTTCAGACCCTCGTTACTGGACGTACTGTCCACACTCACAGTTGGAGCCTTCACCAGTGGAGCGATGGTACCTTGAGACAGGTCATAGAGATGTCATTAGCTGACAAACTGTTATGACATGTGTTATGACAACATAATGTAGGTTGCCTGTACAACACCCTCAGCGGGGCTGGGTAAATTAGGTTTTCAGGGGAATTGGAAGAGAGCCTGTAATGCGACTTCCGCTTTTGGCGACACTTTATCTTAACTCCTCCTCCACATTTAGTGATTGGTTGAATAATGCAGAAGAGAACCTCCTTGACAGTATTTTTTCTCGTCAGGACCAGAATGTGTGGCATCGCACTCAGGCGTTTCTTTTACGCCTGCTACATTAGGTTACTTGTACAATAACTAGAAGGTTGTCAATCATCCAAATACAAACACGTATTAAGCCTATACAGCAGTGGAGGCTGGTGGGAGGAGCTATAGGAGGACAGGCTCATTGTAATGGCTGGAATGGAATCAATGGAACGGAGTCAAACGTGGTTTCCATATGTTTTATGTTTTTGATACTGTTCCCACATTCCATTCCAGCCATTACAATGAGCCCGTCCTCCTATAGCTACTCCCACCAGCTTCCTCTGCTATGCAGTGTCTGTCGATGAATAGTAAATAGTAAATTACCTTTGTTAATGTTTAAAACATGGATCAAGCACCTGGCACAAGGTAACAGTGCCTCTGCAGCTTGCATCCAATCCTAATATCTTTCCCATCAAACCCACGCAATCTGCTCCAACAAGCTGCTGCAGCACTGCGCTAGCTGCAATCAGCCCCTGACCTTTTGCCAAACTGGCAGTAATGCCCAGTTGACTGAATTCATTACTTAAAATAGATAAACTCATCCTTCTTAGCTGAATACTAAGCTTTTTCTCCCCTGTTTTACACTTCCTGGGCGGCTGGGGGGTTAGATGTATGTGGGGGGGACAAATAGACCAGGATCTAGGGAAGGGGTGTGGTGTGGTGTGTGTGTGTAAGGTTTGGGTTCGGTTGGATAAGGCCATTGAATCCCTAGGGGGGAGGGTGGGGGGGGTGCTGGCACTAGCAGGTGATTGCTTATCTGTTGGCCCCCTCTAGCCCCTCTGCAGTCGGTAGATCATGTAATTATTTAAACCATGCAGTGCCGAGTGCTCGATAGGGCCGTGATGGAGGCGTCATAAACAGCGGCATGGCCACTGGAGTCAGCAGAAAATCTACTTGAGGTACTTAACTGCCCCATTCATCAGTTAGAGCCTTTTAAAGCCTGGACCAGGGAAAGACTAGCATGAGACAGCCACTTTAAATGGCAGGGACGAGGGAAGAGCTCCAAGCACCAGTAAATAGCTAAATATGAAGTAATTTCCTTCTCTTCTAAGGCAGGTATAGTACATACTGTAAACAAAAGTTTTTGATGGAGACTCAGGCAGTTTTGACACAATTTTCAAGGGATGGTAAGGTACATGCCTTTTAAACTACAGTTCTTCATTCTTTATTCAGATATCCTGAATAAGTCACTATAAGCGTGTATATCCTTCAACTTATCACTTGCTACAGTATGTATAGTATCAGTGAAGAGACAAGAGAACTCACTGCCGTCGTAGCTCAGAGTGGCGAACTTGACCCTCTTCTCTGCTGAGCCGGCGCTGTTGAACACCTTCATCTGCAGTTCGTACCAGGTGGCCTCGGCCAGGTCATACAGGATGTAGCTCTTGGTCAGAGAGGTGCGCTGGGCCGTGGTCCACGTGGGAGACTCCACCGAACGGTACTCTAACGTGAAGGACGTGATTGGACAGCCGCCGTTGTTCCAGCCAATCAGGTTGAGCCTGACACGAGTGGCGTTGATACTGGTGAAGAGCTCCTGTTCTTTAGAGTACTGGGGTTCTGTTGGGGAGAGAGGAGACAGACCACACAAACACTTCAATGAGAGGTCTTTCCATAATAATTAGTTTTTCATTAATTGAGTAAAAGAAATGGAGTCACTATTTAATAAAAACCATATGTAAAAGGATGTCACATCTCCCTACCTTTCCCATGAGTCTTAGCTTCGATGATCTCACTGATGCGCCCTGGCCCCACGGCATTCTGGGCAGTCAGGGTGAACTTGTACCAGGTGCCACACTTCAGGTTCTCCAGTCGATAGGAACGCTCACTAGGGCTGATGGCAAAGTTGCCCCACTTCTCACTGTTGTCCTCTGAGTACTGCAGGATGTAGCCTGATGTGTGAGAGAGAGGTTAGGATGTTACAGTGTTGCCTGCTAAACAGCCATCCTGGTGTTGCTAATAGGGAACCCTATTTAATCAAGTCAGTAAGCTGTTGTCCAAGGAAAAAAACAAAAATATCCTATAATAGTTACTGTTGCTGCTAGCTGTGTTGGTGTCTGACCTCTGATGGAGCTACCTCCGTTGTCTCCTGGTATCCAGGACAGAGTGATGGACGTGGTGGTCGTCTTGGTAACGGTGAGACGAGGCTGGTCCGGGGGAACTAGAAGTAAAAATATGGATTTTATTTAAGTCCTTCTAACTCATGATGATATCCTTTCACTTCATGAATACACGTCTATTTAGTATTTTTATGACTATCACTGAATTGAAGACTGGTAAACTGATTTGTTCCACCACACATTTACCTTGAACCTGCAGGTTGAGGATGATTTTATCTGGCCCAAAACTGTTGCTAGCCACACAGGTGTAGTTCCCAGAATCCTCAGCTTTCACCGTGCGGATGACCAGGCTGCCGTTGCCCTGAACGATGCGTCTACTGTCAATCACAGCAGGGGCGGGGCTTCCATTGCTGAATGACAAATGTACGAAAGACAGACAGACAATGAACTACGGTGAGATACACCACAGTGAAAATCATTGAAAAGTCTTGGATAATGTTACAGTACTTGTGTGTAGGAATATGCAGTACATGTAAACAACCACGATTATTTTACATTCTGCTGATGAGTGTGAAAGGATACTGCAAACAAACAGGGTCTTCAGTGAAAATTGGCATTCCAAAGAGCCACAGTTTTTTCACTGGTATTTAGTGTGCGTTAAAAGTGACTCAAAACATGGTCTGTTCTAAGTGCTACTGTCTGTCCTACATGCAGCATGACGTGTTGTACTCTGTACTCACGTCTCCTTGAGCCACTTGACCGTGGGGGCTGGGTCGCCCACCGCCTTACAAGGCAACACGATGTCCCTCATCCAGGGGGTGGTCACTGTGCCGTTGAATGTCAGGATCTGAGCAGGAGCTGCACACATACAAACACACCACAACTGGGTCAAATACTTTGGCTGACTTGATTTAGTTTTCCTGGTACAACAGAAGTAATGGAATAGACCCAAAAGTGGAAATCCATCCCAAATACTTTCAAGGGAAGCTCTATAAAAGCAGTATAAACTGTTAATTCCTTATCCAACTTTATTGAATTCACCACCTCTTCCTCTACACCTGCACCCCTTAAGGCATACAGAGCCCATCTCTGTGCTTAGACAGATATAAAGTGGTCTGTTTGGGATGAGGATGATCAGGCAGCAAACTAATTTTTAAAACACATCAGGTCTGGAACTCCAGACTGGAAACCACATTTATCACCCCTGCCTCTAACAGGATGAGAATGTCCAGATAATGTTGCGAGGTCCCGACTCCAACCACTACACTGCCTATCACTGCTCACCATCAGCACAGTGCTGACAGGGTGGAATAGCAGACCTGTTTGCATTCAGTTTGATGAGCTCGCTTCAACTACATTCACATCCTGTGATAGGAGATAGTATAGTCTCCTCTTTTCTAAATTCGTCCAGATGCCTCTCTTCCAACTTTTGTCAATCTGAATAAGCTCTAAGGTAGGCAACTCATAGGGAGAGTTTCTCAGGGTTGTACCCCTTTAAATGTTCTGATCAAGGCTTTGACAGAAAACACAACTCAAACACATCAGCACATATGCACACAGTGAAAATGAGCTGATGTCTTTTGTGTCTTCTAAAAACATTCAGAGACTGAGACAGCTATTCTTATCATCTGTTTCAGGATAATGAGAAGGGAAACCATAAGCTCCACCTACCCTCGGCCAAGGGCTTGATGGTGATGATGTCGCTTGCGTTGCCACGGCCGGCTGCGGTGACGGCCACCACCCAGATGCTGTACTGGCGGTTCCTGCTCAGGTTGGGGATACGGTAGAAGAAGATGTCTGGAGCTGCTTCAAACTCACTGCTCACCTGTAGGAGTGGAGAGACCGGCATGATGTTAGCAGAGAAATACAGGACCTACTCAAATGTCTGTACCAAGCTATCAATTCTTGGAGCTGAACATTGATGACACAGCCCTGACAATGTTAGATAGAGGGTTTATAAGCCAGCAGTACCCCATCAGTCTCCCTGTAGCCTTGTGTGCCATGCGGGCTTCTTATCTAGTCTAGCCCTTGAACCTGGTGCCTCCCTCTCCTCCAATTTATGTCTGGTCTCTTAAATATACTGTATGCCCACCACTGACATGCCTTCATCCCTGTACTGTGAAACCCAGTACTCTGTGTCCTCTTTACCGTGGGGTGTGGGTTAGAGCAGAAGACAGTATATTTCCTGATGATGCCATTGAGTTTGAGAGGAGGGAGCCACGACACAAACACCACCGAGTTAGATGCCGCCGCTGCCTTCACCCCAGCCGGAGGACCAGGAACTGGTGAGGGAAAACATTGAGGAAATATACATTATTACCCTTATCCTTGTTTTGTGTATCATCTAAGGAAACCACTCCGTATTTAAGTTTTGCCAGTGTCAAAATCATTCATTCCAGTGAGCGTGCCTGAACGTCTGATGCTACAGAGCGATCTGCAATATGCAAGAGCTGCAGTTTTTCACCTACTTATGTGAGTCATCTGCACCAACTGTCAACAAAAATGTATATAATTTCACACCAAATTCAAACAGAAGTCCTGTCATAATTATTTCTACTTTGCAAAACGCTCTTCCATAATGCAAGAGGGGATATGTAAATCTAGGCACGGTTGACCTACCACAGTTGACCCCTGACCTCTAGTATGATTAGTATGATGCAGTTTCCCCTACAGACTGATGTAAGTTCAGTTTTGCATCTTCCCCCTAATAGTTAAGGTTAGAATTTAGGGAGCGTAAGCTAATCCTAGATCAGTGCTTGAGAAGTCTCCTGGTCTACTGGTGTTCGTACCGTCCTCCTTGGTGCGGGTGAAAATCTGCTCGCTGCGCACCCCGTCCCCGGCCCGGGTGAAGGTCAGCACCTGGATGCTGTAGTTGGTGTACTTCTCCAGACCATCCAGCTCCAGAGATGGCTTAGAGGTGGTCACGTTACGGATCTCCCCCAGCTCTGAGATAGGAGAAGGAGAGGAGGGGATAGAGGGCAAGGAAAGGAAATAAGGGTCGAAGTAAGGCAGAAAGAGAAGTAGGGAGCAAGGAAAAGAGACAGGGAAGAAGGGAGGGAAAACAACAAGGATGTCAAATGCAGAATTACTGTAAATGTCAACTAACTTAGAAGAAAAGTTGCTTGTGCGCTACAGGTAAATACAAAACATTAAGAACACCTGCTCTTTCCATGACATAGACTGACCAGGTGAATCCAGGTGAAAGCTATGATCCCTTATTGATGTCACTTGTTAAATCCATTTCAATTAGTGTAGATGAAGGAGAGGAGACATGTTAACCTCTTAAGGATCGGACCCTTTTTTTCAATTTTCAACTAAAATGACATACCCAAATCGAACTGCCTGTAGCTCAGGACCTGAAGCAATGATATGCATATTATTGATACCATATGAAAGGAAACACTTTGTGGAAATGTGAAATTAATGTAGGAGAATATAACATATTAGATCTGGTAAATAATACAAACAAAAAAACATGCGTTTTTTATTCCATCATCTTTGAAATGGAAGAGAAAGGCCACAGTATAATATTGCAGTTTAGGCGTAATTTAGATTTTGGCCACTACATAGCAGCAGTGTGTGTGCAAAGTTTCAGATTGATTCAGTGAAGCATTGCAATACTGGATTATTTTGTATAAAGTCTGCCCAAATGTGCCGAATTGGTACATTTATACATTTTCAAGTACATAACTATAGAGAACATACAAAAATGATATGGTAAAACAAAATGTAAGTTTACACACTTCCAGGAATATCATACATGATGGATAATTAGTTTATACACTAACTTTCACACATCTAGATGGCCGGGCGGGGTGGGTGTGGAGCCAGAGACAGCAGGGGTTCAAACTGTAGAACCCAGTTCCTACATTTGAATATAAAAATTGATTTTATCAAACAAAACTATGCTACATTTTATCTCTGGGACCCTTAGGATGACAAATCAGAGCAAGATTACTGAATGTAAGTACATTATTTACCTTCAGAGGTGAATGTATCAAACCAGTTGCCGTGATACATTTTTTGTTGTTGTGCACTCTCCTCAAACAATAGCATGGTATCACTGTAATAGCTACTGTAAACTGGACAGTGCAGTTAGATTAACAAGAATTTAAGCTTTCTGCCCATATAAGACATGTCTATGTCCTGGAAAGTTTGATGTTACTTACAACAGTCAACATGTGCCAGCATCCCTGTGGAATGCTTTTGACACCTTGTAGAGTCCATGCCCTGATGAATTGAGGCTGTTCTGAGGGCAAAAGGGGGTGCAACTCAATATTAAGAAGGTTCTTAATGTTTTGTACACTCAGTGTATACTTGTATAGTATATCACATACAGAAAATAAGATGTCCAAGGATGTCATACATAACAACTTATTAAATCAAACCATGGACACAAATACAGGATTAAAAATCCCATCCTTGGTCTGTTCTGGTGTGTCTGTCCTCGACTCTGACGATGCTTCTCTAAGTGTTGAATAATGGATGTCTCTCCCTCTCTCTATTTCTCTCTTTCCCTCCTCTACTGCAGTCTGGATTAGAGCCACAGTCTGTTAATGCTCCATCCTCCCTGTTAGTACATCTCCTTCTCCTCCCTCTCTTCTAATGTAACCATTCAAACACTGAACTGTTCCAAAGCAGCCATAGCATATTTGTTATTTATTTATTTATTTCACCTTTATTTAACCAGGTAAGCCAGTTGAGAACAAGTTCTCATTTACAACTGCGACCTGGCCAAGATAAAGCAAAGCAGTGTGATAAAAACAACAACACAGAGTTACATATGGGGTAAAACAAAACATAAAGTCAAAAATACAACAGAAAATATATATAAAGTGTGTGCAAATGTAGCAAGTTATGAAGGTAAGGTAATAAATAGGCCAAAGTGCAAAATAATTACAATTAGTATTAACACTGGAATGATAGATGTGCAAGAGATGATGTGCAAATAGAGATACTGGGGTGCAAATGAGCAAAATAAATAACAATATGGGGATGAGGTAGTTGGGTGGGCTAATTTCAGATGGGCTATGTACAGGTGCAGTGATCGGTAAGGTGCTCTGACAACTGATGCTTAAAGTCAGTGAGGGAGATAAGAGTCTCCAGCTTCAGAGATTTTTGCAATTCGTTCCAGTCATTGGCAGCAGAGAACTGGAAGGAATGGCAGCCAAAGGAGATGTTGGCTTTGGGGATGACCAGTGAGATATACCTGCTGGAGCGCATACTACGGGTGGGTGTTGCTATGGTGACCAATGAGCTAAGATAAGGCGGGGATTTGCCTAGCAGTGATTTATAGATGGCCTGGAGCCAGTGGGTTTGGCGACGAATATGTAGTGAGGATCAGCCAACAAGAGCGTACAGGTCACAGTTGTGGGTAGTATATGGGGCTTTGGTGACAAAACGGATGGCACTGTGATAGACTACATCCAATTTGCTGAGTAGAGTGTTGGAGGCTATTTTGTAAATGACATCGCCGAAGTCAAGGATCGGTAGGATAGTCAGTTTTACGAGGGCATGTTTGGCAGCATGAGTGAAGGAGGCTTTGTTGCAAAATAGGAGGCCGATTCTAGATTTAACTTTGGATTGGAGATTCTTAATGTGAGTCTGGAAGCAGAGTTTACAGTCTAACCAGACACCTAGGTATTTGTAGTTGTCCACATACTCTAGGTCAGACCCGTCGAGAGTAGTGATTCTAGTCGGGTGGGCGGGTGCCAACAGCGTTCGATTGAAGAGCATGCATTTAGTTTTACTAGCGTTTAAGAGCAGTTGGAGGCTACTGAAGGAGTGTTGTATGGCATTGAAGCTCGTTTGGAGGTTTGTTAACACAGTGTCCAATGAAGGGCCAGATGTATACAAAATGGTGTCGTCTGCGTAGAGGTGGTTCTGAGAGTCACCAGCAGCAAGATCGACATCATTGATATACACAGAGAAAATAGTTGGCCCAAGAATTGAACCCTGTGGCACCCCCATAGAGACTGCCATAGGTCCAGACAACAGGCCCTCCGATTTGACACATTGAACTCTATCTGAGAAGTAGTTGGTGAACCAGGCGAGGCAGTCATTTGAGAAACCAAGGCTATTTAGTCTGCCAATAAGAATGCGGTGGTTGACAGAGTCAAAAGCCTTGGCCAGGTCGATGAAGACGGCTGCACAGTACTGTCTATTATCAATCGCGGTTATAATATCGTTTAGGACCTTGAGTGTGGCTGAGGTGCACCCATGACCAGCTCGGAAACCGGATTGCATAACGGAGAAGGTACGGTGGGATTCGAAATGGTCGGTGATCTGTTTGTTAACTTGGCTTTCAAAAACATTCGAAAGGCAGGGCAGGATGGATATAGGTCTGTAACAGTTTGGACCTAGAGTGTCACCCCCTTTGAAGAGGGGGATGACTGCGGCAGCTTTCCAATCTCTGGGGATTTCAGACGTTACGAAAGAGAGGTTGAACAGGCTAGTAATAGGGGTTACGACAATTTCGGCGGCTAGTTTTAGAAAGAAAGGGTCCAGATTGTCTAGCCCAGATGATTTGTAGGGGTCCAGATTTTGCAGCTCTTTCAGAACATCAGCTGTCTGAATTTGTGTGAAGGAGAAGCGGTGGGGGCATGGGCAAGTTGCAGCGGAGGGTGCAGAGCTGGTGGCCGGGGTAGTGGTAGCCAGGTGGAAAGCATGGCCAGCTGTAGCAAAATGCTTGTTGAAATTCTCAATTATTGTAGATTTATCGGTGGTGATAGTGTTTCCTAGCCTCAATGCAGTGGGCAGCTGGGAGGAAGTGCTCTTATTCTCCATGGACTTTACAGTGTCCCAAAACTTTTTGGAGTTAGTGCTACAGGATGCACATTTCTGTTTGAAAAAGTTAGCCTTTGCTTTCCTAACTGCTTGTGTATATTGGTTCCTAACTTCCCTGAAAAGTTGAATATCGAGGGGGCTATTTGATGCTAATGCAGTACGCCACAGGATGTTTTTGTGCTGGTTTATTTAAGATTAAGAGGAAATTACTTTTAAAGAACAACCAGGCATCCTCTACTGACGGAATGAGATCTATATCCATCCAGGATACCTGGGCCAGGTCAATTAGGAAGGCCTGCTCGCTAAAGTGTTTTAGGGAGCGTTTGACAGTGATGAGGGGTGGTCGTTTGACCGCAGACCCGTTACGGACGCAGGCAATAAGGCAGTGATCGCTGAGATCCTGGTTGAAGACAGCGGAGGTATATTTAGAGGGTAAGTTAGTCAGGATGATATCTATGAGGGTACCCATGTTTACGGATTTAGGTTCGTTGATAATTTGTGTGAGATTGAGGGCATCTAGTTTGGATTGTAGGATGGCCGGGGTGTTAAGCATATCCCAATTTAGGTCACCAAGCAGTACGAACTCTGAGGATAAATGGAGGGCAATCAATTCACATATGGTGTCCAGGGCACAGCTGGGGGCTGAGGGGGGTCTGTAGCAAGCGGCAACAGTGAGAGACTTATTTCTGGAAAGGTGGATTTTTAGAAGTAGAAGCTCAAACTGTTTGGGCACAGACCTGGATAGTATGATAGAGCTCTGCAGGCTATCTCTACAGTAGATTGCAACTCCACCCCTTTTGGCAGTTCTTTACCGTGTAAAGGAACAGTCCAGCAGGCATCAGCTGTGCAGCTGAGTGATCATAAGGTCCAGTGAACAGCAATATGTGAGTCCAAGAGCAGTTCAAATTTGTGCTTCAGCACAGCGAGAAGGAAGCACGTTGTAGTTTGCTTGTGCTAGCGGGCCGGGGCTAGCAAATGGATCTTTGTGGTCGTCGCAACGGGAAGCCTGTTGAAACCACAGACGATTACGTCGGCAGACCAGTCGTGATGGATCGGCAGGGCTCTGTGTCGACTCTAGGAGGTCCCGTCCGGTTGACAGAGAGGTAGATAGCTGGGAGATGTGCCTGACTCAAGGCTAGCTCAAGGCTGATTAGCCAACAACAACGTTAATTTGGTTGCAGCTAGCTAGTTGCGATTATCCAGTGTTAATGGTCCAGTGATTCAGTGATTCCGGCAGAAAATCCGATAGGTTCTGGGTCGATAACTCGCTGTGCAGACAGTGCAGACTGGCCGATAATAGTCCAGGCTAGAGCTGGCTGGTAGGTAGTGCAGGCCACGGACAATGGAGAAAAGCCGCTAACGGTGGCTAATAGCAAGTAGCTAGTTAGCTGGTTAGCTGGCTACTCCCGTCCGGTAGACAGAGAGGTAGATAGCTGGGGCTAGCTCAAGGCTAACTGGTGCTACGGGGGCAGTGGTGATTATCCTACAGCAACATCCATTCGACATCCATCCGGTTGCGGCTAGCTAGATCCGGTGTTATGGTCCAGTGATTCAGTTATTCCGGCAGAAAATCCGATGTTCTGGGTGAAAACCGCTAACGGCGGCTAATAGCAAGTAGCTAGTTAGCTGGCTGGCTAGTTTCAACTGGAGATTCTAGATAAAGGTGAGTAAATAATAGAATCCGTTCCGCATTGAGTGAGGCGGGTTGCAGGAAAGTATATTTAGTAGAAGGATGAAAAGTGTGATAGGGAAATATATACGTAAAATACAAAAAAATATACAAAAAACTGGCTATTTACATGGACACACAAGAGAACACGACCGCACTGCTACGCTATCTTGGAACGGAATATGAAGAGCTCTGGAATCTGTTAATCTATGGCTCTATAGCTCCTTCATTTATAGTTGTGTTGTGGGCTGATCAGAACAGTTCTCTGGGATATAACAGTGAGTTATAGGTTTATGAGTCATAATAGCGTGATTTGGAAACGTACAGTAAAATATATGCTGTATACTAATAGTTGTAATCACCGAATTCTGACTCAATGTACTGTAGGTACAATCCATTCGGAGAGTATTCAGACACTTTCCCTTTTTCCACATTTTGTTACATTACAGCCTTATTCTAAAATGGATTAAAAAAAAATATCCTCATCAATCTACCTATAATACCTCATAATGACAAAGTGAAAACATGTTTTTTGAAATTTTTGCAAATATATTACAAATAAAAACAGAAATATCTTATTTACATAAGTATTCATTTGCTATGATACTCAAAATTGAGCTTAATTTGCTAAGATGTTTCTACAACTTGATTGGAGTCCACCTGTGGTAAATTCAATTGATTGGACATGATTTGGAAAGGCACACACCTGTCTATATAAGGTCCCACAGTTGACAGTGCATGTCAGAGCAAAAACCAAGCCATGAGGTTGAAGAAATTGTCTGTAGAGCTCCGAGACAGGATTGTGTCGAGGCACAGAAATGTTTCTGCAGCATTGAAGGTCCCCAAGAACACAGTAGCCTCCATCATTCTTAAATGGAAGAAGTTTGGAACCACCAAGACTCTTCCTAGAGCTGGCCACGGCCAAACTGAGCAATCGGGGGAGAAGGGCATTGGTCAGGGAGGTGACCAAGAACCCGACGGTCACTCTGACAGAGCTCCAGAGTTCCTCTGTGGAGATGGGAGAACCTTCCAGAAGGACAACCATCTCTGCAGCACTCCACCAATCAGGCCTTTATGGTAGAGTGGCCAGACGGAAGCCACTCAGTAAAAGGCACATGACAGCCTGCTTGGAGTTTGCCAAAAGGCAACTAAAGGACTCTCAGACCATGAGAAATAAGATTTCTCTGGTCTGAAGAAACCAAGATTGAACTCTTTGGCCTGAATGCCAAGTGTCATGTCTGGAGGAAACCTGGCACTATACCTACGGTGAAGCAAGGTGTTGGCAACATCATGCTGTGGGGATGTTTCTCAGCGGCAGGTACTGGGAGACTAGTCAGGATCGAGGGAAAGATGAACGGAACAAAGTACAGAGAGATCCTTGATGAAAACCTGCTCCAGAGCGCTCAGGACCTCAGACTGGGGTGAAGGTTCACCTTCCAACTGGACAACGACCCTAAGCACACAGCCAAGACAACGCAGGAGTGGCTTCGGGACAAGTTTCAAAATGTCCTTGAGTGGCCCAGCCAGAGACCGTACTTGAACCCAATCGAGCATCTCTGGAGAGAACTGAAAATAGCTGTGCAGCGACGCTCCCCATCCAACCTGACAGAGATGAGAGGATTTGCAGAGAAGAATGGGAGAAACTCCTCAAATAGCATTATACCCAAGAAGATTCAAGGCTGTAATCGCTGCCAAAGGTGCTTCAACAAAGTACTGAGTAAAGGGTCTGAATACTTCTGTAAATGTCATATTTCAGTTTTTTATTTTTTATACATTTGCAAAAAAATCTAAAAACCTGTTTTTGCTTTCTCATTATGGTGTATTGTGTGTAGATTGATGAGGGAGAAAAACGATGCAATCCATTTTAGAATAAGGCTGTAACATAACAACATTTAGAAAAAGTCAAGGGGTCTGAATACTTTCCAAATGCACTGTATTTGAAATCCATAAAATGGCTGATAAATATATACCATTGATGAGTGCTAGAATGCAAATAATAAAAGGAATCATTGTTTGAGTAGAATAACAGAGTGATGAGTTTGATTACTGCAGTGGTGCCAGATGTTTAGTGGGTAAGGTAGCTTAGTGGGTAAGAGCGTTGTGCCAGTAACCGAAAGGTCGCTGGTTCTAATCCCCGAGCCTAGGTGAAAAATCTGTCGATGTGCCCTTGAGCAAGGCACTTAACCCTAATTGCTCCTGTAAGTCGCTCTGGATAAGAGCGTCTGCTAAATGACTAAAAATGTAAAAAATGTAAAAAAATGTTTAGAGCAGTGTTGATGGATAAGACACAGTTGTTCCACCATCTTAGAAAAGGGGCCTATATCCCCCTCTGCTGGTACATGAGGTAAACAACCCTTGATATTTTCCCAACAACAACATTTATATTGCTCATATTTAGAATATAATGAAGAGCACAACAGGCCCTGGCTGAAGGTTTAGACAAGTGTCTTAGACAATAAATACATCGATGTGATTTCTATCACACATATCACACATTCTTAGTATATATTTTCAGTGTATATATAGATTGCATTTGGATTACTGATACAGTGTTACTTGGGTTGTTAATTGGATTCCTTCTGACGTTTCTTGATTTCTTAATTTTAGTTTTTTTGATTATTTGTGTACTTGTTTGACATTTTACTGCACTGTTAGGAGCTAGACATTTTACTGCACTATTAGGCGCTAGTAACAGAAGCATTTCACTGCACCCACTATAACATCTGCTAAACTGTGCGACCAATAAACTTTGATTTGATATAATGAGTGACATCTTTCATTTAAATGAATAAGATCTGTATTCATATGAATTGTTGTCAATGGTACATAAGATATCTATATGTGAAAGTGTATGCACTCACTAACTGTAAGTCGCTCTGGATAAGAGCGTCTGCTAAATGACTAAAATGTAAAATGTAAAATATGTATATAGTAGATGTAATACATGGCTATGGCTGTAGTATTGTTTGGAGTGTGTCCCACTATGACATGTACTGTTACTATGCAAACTAGATTGAGTGCTGCTTTTCAATTGGTGCATCCAGGGTCCATCAGAGGGGATGTGATATGACAGATGAGGGGTCAAAAGTAACAGTGCTGTCAGAAGCCATCACTCTGACGTCTCTCCAGCACGTGATGACTGCATGCCATGCCAGGCTGTCTGAGTTGAACTAGAAAGCCTGGGTCACAGCTAATATGTCTCATTCATCCACTAGAATTATCATGCATAGGTAATCATGTTGATACTGTATACATTCTATGTGTCTTGGAGGTTACGGACAAGGGCAGATACAGTGTAACATCTACATCCTTCTCTCTCTTTGTGTGTGTGTGTGTGAATTTGTATGTGTGTGTGTGTGTGTGCCTGCATGCATCTGTGTGTGTGTGTGTGTGTGTGTGTGTGTGTGTGTGTGTGTGTGCCTGCATGCATCTGTGTGTGAGTGTGTGTGCCTGCATGCATCTGTGTGTGTGTGTGTGTGTGTGTGTGTGGGCTGTACCTCCGTCGGGCAGGTTGGCCCAGTAGATGACCCTGAAGCCGAGCAGGATGCCATTGAGGGCGTCTTTAGGAGGGGTCAGCCAGGATAGAGAGATGATCTCTGGGGACGCTGCTGTGGCCTGGACGTTCTCTGGAGGTCGGCTGGGAACTGTCACAACCAGGGAGGAGGAAAAACAACATTGTTACCTCAGTCTCCAAACAAGTAGAATGTACAGAAGAGTTTACTGAAGAGAGGAGAATATTGAGATACTCTTGGAAGTGAACTTCATAATGCTTATTTAAAGTAAAAAATTAGGGTTTTGGGACCTATCCTTCATCAGGTATTTTTTTAGCCATGACAAAAATGACCAGCCATTACAATACTGAACATCAGCTGTCACTACACCAGCAGTACCAACACCATCCATGAGATGTCGATAAAGCTCCATCCTGGGAGTTCACTCCCTTCAGAGACAAAACATCAGTCATTTGACCCTTGATGCACCACAATACTGTAGAATACCCTAATTCAGCTAAAGAAATGTTTGAAATCAGTAAGATTTTAACTGTCCACGATATTGTTACTGATAGCTAAAGGCAGACTGTGTGTGTGTCCTCACCGTCCTCCAGCGTGGTAGAGATGACCTCCTGGGAGGAGGGTCCTGTCCCAGCGCTGTTGCTGGCCTGCACCACCACCCCATACTGGGTGAACTTCTTCAAGTTGTCCAGGGTGACACTCTCACTGTGGTCATTGTCCCCCGTCGACTCCATGGTGATGACGTTGAACTGGTAGTTCCCCCCGGTGCTGAACTCCCTGTAGCCCACCTGGTAGCCCCGGATCGCCCCGTTCTGGAGGTGCTTCTTAGGGGCCTGGTGGAAGACGGAGAGAGGGAGGGAAGAGGGAGGAGAAGGGAACGTACATTTAGATATTGGGGGACATCTTCTTGAGGACAGAAGAATGGTTGTGGCCCTCAATGACCTGAACTGTAACAGACCATGCAGGTAGTAGACCACAGAGCTACAGTAAGTTCTTCTCAGTCTTGATGGAATTGATTAAACATATCTTACCCTCCAGGAGACTCTGATGCTCTGAGAGGAGAAAGCTTCAAGCTGCACATCTTGTGGGGGACCATCAGGAGCTAGAAGGAAGAACATACATCAAGGTCATTCAGATCTGAGCTACTGTCAGTTGAGTAGACGAGGTACAGGAAGGCAGAAATTAGTCTGCAAAGGAATTAAACTATCCAGTCAGTGTATTCTGAAGGTTATTCCAAGGTTAAGGCAAAGATCCTGAGACATGGAAGGCTAAAGTTCTACTGTATCTATGGGTAGACCAGATTATTTGGTCTCAGATGACCCAGCCCACTTGAACAATAATAAAGATGGAGGTCATGTTTACGAGAGGTCATGGGGGACAGAGTCAGAAGAGAAGTGAGAGAGAGAAGTGCAGTGTGGGGATTGGGAGGAACCACCAAAGGGAACAGGAGCAATTTGCAGAGGGGCCGGCCAGTGATCTATTGACCACAGTGTGACATTTACAACATGGTCTGCTAATTGAAAAGTCCCACTTTTAGTGCAGGGTCAGCATGTGTTCAATAATGCAACAGAGCTGATGTCACTCTGCTGTTAATGAATTGACTTCCTCATCCCCATTACCCTCTTTTCTACCTCTTTCATCCTAGTCACGTATGTAAGTCAGTCACGTATGTAGGTCTTTCCTTTTGCAGTTCATCATCCTGCCTGTTTGCCTGCTTTGCCATTGTATATATGAAGTGCATCAGTCTAAATGTGTATGTACAGTATAGCTACGCATGTCTGTGTGCTTGCCTTGTTGTTGTATGTCTGTGTCTGCATGCTCTGTGTGCATACATTTAACCAGTGGTGGGTCTAATACCTGCTTCGTCTGTGGTGATGGTGAGTTCGTTGCTAGCCTCACTCTTGCCGATGTGGTTCTTGGCAAACATGCGGATGTTGTAGGTGGAGGAGGGGTGCAGGTCTATGATGGTGGCCTGGTTGAGCTGGGGAGACACGTCTTTGGTCCTTTGGGCCATTTCCCAGGAGCCTGTGGGGCCGGGGTCAAGGGTCAAGGTTTATGGGGGTTAGTGAGGACCACTAAGTGGGGCTAAAGGTCAAAGCCTGCTAAGTGCATTAGTCTGCTGTATTGAATTATAGAACTGAGAAAAATATCATGTATAATCATTCTCTGGAAGACAGGAGGAGCCCATCCAGCTTAACATGAGGATACATAGAAGCATTTCACCAGGATAGACCTTAGAAATACACAGGAAGTGAAAATATTTGTATTCTGTCCATACAGTGGTATGCGCCATGTAGGCTTACTGTACCGCTGGCATCCAGAACATATCATCTCTTACAAAGAGAACTCTTGTTTGTCTTGTACCTGATTTGTTCTTGCACTCAATGTCGAAGCCTGTGATTGGGCTGTTTCCATCGAAGCCCATGGTCCAGCGGAGGGCAATAGTCCTGTCCTTCACCTCTCTGATCTCCACCTCAGGAGGGTCCGGGGGCTCTGAGGGACACCATAAAGTCACATACATGGTTATACAACGCTAGGGTGCTTATTTTGCATTATTACCCTAATTGGGGGGTTCAATTTTGTATTTCATTTTGTTTTCATGACAATTGTCAGTGGTGTGCAGCTGTACCTTGCACTGTTAGCTGAATGATCCCTCTGTCTTCACCATAGGAGTTGATGGCATGGCAGGAGAAGAAGCCAGAGTCTTCCCTCACTGTAGGCCGGATCTATGGGAAAAGGAAAAAGAGGGTCAGCTACATAGATGAGGATGTGCATGGAAAATACACATTCTGGGCTAAATCATTCACAGACAGGACTCATGATGAGCCATCATCATACCGGTCTACAAACGGACAAATTTAGTGCAGGCTTCTGCTACAACGCTTTGCTCCAAGCAAAAGCCCTGCATACCCAGTAGCTCTCCACCTGGCCTCAGCTGAGGTAACTGTAACTGGGAAGAGGGCAGCACCACTCCACTGGTGTGTCTGTGTACCTGCAGGGTGGAGATGACCTCGTCGGCCACCTCTTTGACGGTGACCACGTAGCGGTGGCTGCTCTCCGGGTTGATGATGCGCTCCTCCTTCTCCCAGCGCACCATGATGGGCTTCTCCCCGTGGGCCGTGCAGCTCATCCTCTTCTCACTGCCCTGCGTGGCCAGCGTGGTGTTGGGGTACGACGTGATCATGGCCGGGACTGGAAGGAGAGAGAAAAAGCGGATAGAGAGAGAGAGAGACAGCCAGAGACAGAGACAGAGACAGAGACAGAGAGAGAGAGAGAGAGAGACGGGACATGTTACATTAGTTATGAAGTAAGACAGGCTGAACATAAACACATTTAGCCATAATCCAATTCCAGTGGGACATCATAGTGATACCTGTCACATGGAGGGTCGTTACAAGACAGGGGAACACTGTAATGAATCAAATCTCTCTGCTCAAATGACACTTAATTGAGTCATAGTATTGCTGACTTCAGTGGTTGCTAAGTGTTTTGGTTTACATTCTGCAGATATTGCTCCAACTTCTAACATAAAATACAGTGAACTCCATGCTTCCCTGTTATGTTGAGCTGTGACAACAAACATCTTATGACAACAAGCAGCCAAGGCTTGGATCTGAGAAAATCCCTATTGGCAGGTCTCTGCCAGTACACTAGGACAGCACACTACTTACACACACAGCTCATTACCCCCACAACCGAGTGTGTAATGACACACACACACACACACACACACACGGCTCCTGTGATGTGATGGAAAGTGTCAGGCGAGGGGTTGCAGACATTTAAGTTTCATCTCTTATTCATTCCCCAGCCATTTTGAGCCATGCTACAGAAAAATAAGGTTGATTTATTTTGCATGAAAACTATGAATTTTTAGTGTGATGCACTTGAAGTAGTGAGGGAAAAAATAACTCCTCCCCCCTTCTGTAAATGTTAGCGTTTTGAGCAACAGTAATCTCATTGTGCCATTTAAAGTGGCTCCGAGGTGCAATGTTTACCCCCGACAGAGGCTGATACTACGCTAAACAGTTATGACCTCGACCACTACACTCTTAGAAAAAAAGGTGCTATCTAGAACCTTAATGTGTTCTTTGGCTGTCCCCATAGGATAACCCTTTGAAGAACACTTTTTGGTTGCAGGTAGAAACCTTTTGGATGTAGAACCCCGAAAGGGTTTTACCTGGAACCAAAAAGGGTTCTCCTACGAGTGTAGTATTACCATGATTATGACATAGGTAAGCTCAAACTAGCCTAGCTAAGACTAACATCATGTTGATGGGACACTACAGTGTTGATGTGTAGTCAATGAAACACCTATTGTACAGGGCTACATGAGGTGAGGTGGCCATCACACAGGGGGAGATCACACAGACATGACCAATGTAATCAGTGTGTGAGTGAGAGAGTAGCACAGCTGTGTCTGTCTGCCCGAGGCACATGCCACAGTGCCAGGGTGTTTCATGGGCCTGTAATTGCTGTGTTGATGTATTTCTTTAATTTCCGGCGGAATTATGGGCAGAGGAACACGTCTCTGGGGGCAGGGGGGCGAGGTGACGCCTCCACTGGGAGACTTAAACATTGGACAGCCACACATTTTTTATTTAACACAGTGGACTACATACAGTAAACACACATGCACACGCACGCGCACACACACGGTTTAATTAGCAGCACTGACTGGTATGTGTATCTCTGGCTGACACAGTAGAGGTTAGGGGAGCCCCATTTCTAAACATCCAGCCCAGAGGGCAACAAACATGATGCATGTCAGCCTGCCTCTCTGCCTGGCTGCAGGGAATTCTTGGATATTCTGCTCCCACGAGACAAAAGCTGCAGCTCCCCCCTCCCAGGCTCCCTTTCACCTGGCCAGGTTACCATGCCAACCAGCATCGGACAATCTATTTCTCCCTCTCCCTCTCCCTCTTTCCCTCCATCCCTGTCCTCAGGGGAGGCCATTAATAGTATCCAGGAATAGAACATGGAGCAGCCATTGATTTTCTACAGGACCAGGATTACACTATCCCAGCCCTGAATGTCGCAATGCAGACCCCCCAAAAAACAGGGATATACACAGTACCAGTCAAAGGTTCGGACACACCTACTCATTCAAGGGTTTTCCTTTATTTTTACTATTTTCTACATTGTAGAATAATAGTGAAGGTCGGGGGATTGTGCAGGTCAGGTCATCTGATGCAGCACTCCATCCTTCTTGGTAAAATAGCCCTTACACAGCCTGAAGGTGTGTTGGGTCATTGTCTTGTTGAAAAACAAATGATAGTCCCACTAAGCCCAAACCAGATGGGATGGCGTATCACTGCAGAATGCTGTGGTAGACATGCTGGTTAAGTGTGCCTTGAATTCTAAATAAATCAGCAAAGCACCCCCACACCATAACACCTCCTCCTCCATGCTTTACGGTGGGAAATACACATGCGGAGATCATCCGTTCACTCACACCGCGTCTCACAAAGACACGCCTGTTGGAACCAAAAATCTCAAATTTGGACTCCAGACCAAAGGACAAATTTCCACCGGTCTAATGTCCATTGCTCATTTTTCTTGGCCCAAGCAAGTCTCTTCTTCTTATTGGTGTCCTTTAGTAGTGGTTTCTTTGCAGCAATTCGACCATGAAGGCCTGATTCACACAGTCTCCTCTGAACAGTTGATGTTGAGATGTGTCTACTTGAACTCTGAGAATCATTTATTTGGGCTGACCTTCATGTCTTAAAGTAATGATGGACTGTCATTTCACTTTGCTTATTTGAGCTGTACTTGCCATAATATGGACTTTTACCAAATAGGGCTATCTTCTCTATACCCCCCCCCCCCCCCCACCTTGTCACAACACAACTGATTGGCTCAAACGCATTAAGAAGGAAAGAAATTCCATAAATTAACTTTTAAGAGGCACACCTGTTAATGGAAATGCATTCCAGGTGACTATCTCATGAAGCTGGTTGAGAGAATGCCAAGAGTGTGCAAAGCTGTCCTCAAGGCAAAGGGTGGCTATTTGAAGAATCTCAAATATATTTTGATTTGTTTAACACTTTTTTGGTTACTACATGATACCGTATGTGTTATTTCATAGTTTTGATGTCTTCACTATTATTCTACAATGTAGAAAATAGTAAAAATAAAGAAAAAGAGTAGGTGTGTCCAAACATTTGACTGGTAGTGTATATACAATGCCTTGTATTCACCCCCCTTGGCAATTTTCCTATTTTGTTGCATTGCAACCTGTAATTTAAATTGATTTTTATTTGGATTTCATGTAATGGACATACACAAAATAGTCCAAATTGGTGATGTGAAAAAAAAAAATTACTTGTTTCAAAAAATTCTAAAAAATAAATAACGGAAATGTGGTGCGTGCATATGTATTCACCCCTTTGCTATGAAGCCCCTAAATAAGATCTGGTGCAACCAATTACCTTCAGAAGTAACATAATTAGTTAAATAAAGTCCACCTGTGTGCAATCTAAGTGTCACATGATCTGTCACATGATCTCAGTATATATACACCTGTTCTGAAAGGCCCCAGAGTCTGCAACACCAAGCAAGCGGCACCATGAAGACCAAGGAGCTCTCCAAACAGGTCAGGGACAAAGTTGTGGAGAGTACAGATCAGGGTTGGGTTATAAAAAAATATCTGAAACTTTGAACATCCCACGGAGCACCATTAAATCCATTATTTAAAAAATGGAAAGAATATGGCACCTCAACAAATCTGCCAAGAGAGGGCTACCCACCAAAACTCACGGACCAGGCAAGAAGGACATTAATCAGAGAGGCAACAAAGAGACCATAAAGAACCCTGAAGGAGTTGCAAAGCTCCACAGCGGAGATTGGAGGATCTGTCCATAGGACCACTATAAGCCGTACACTCCACAGTGTTTCACAATAAAAAATATTTTGCATCTTCAAAGTGCTAGACATGTTGTGTAAATCAAATGATACAAACACCCAAAATACCACTTTGAAGATGCAAAATATTTTTTATTGTGAAACAAACAAGAAATAAGACCATAAAAAACAGAAAACTTGAGCTTGCGTAACTATTCACCCCCCCCCCCCCCCCCCCCCCCCCCCCAAAGTCAATACTTTGTAGAGCCACCTTTTGCAGCAATTACAGCTGCAAGTCTCTTGGGGTATGTCTCTATACGCTTGGCACATCTAGCCACTGGGATTTTTGCCCATTCTTCAAGGCAAAACTGCTCCAGCTCCTTCAAGTTGGATGGGTTCCGCTGGTGTACAACAATCTTTAAGTCATACCACAGATTCTCAATTGTCTAGGCCATTCCAAGACATTTAAATGTTTCCCCTTAAACCACTCGAGTGTTGCTTTAGCAGTATGCTTAGGGTCATTGTCCTGCTGGAAGGTGAACCTCCGTCCCAGTCTCAAATCTCTGGAAGACTGAAACAGGTTTCCCTCAAGAATTTCCCTATATTTAGCTACATCCATCATTCCTTCAATTCTGACCAGTTTCCCAGTCCCTGCCGATGAAAAACCTCCCCACAGCATGATGCTGCCACCACCATGCTTCACTGTGGGGATGGTGTTCTCGGGGTGATGAGAGGTGTTGGGTTTGCGCCAGACATAGCATTTTCCTTGATGGCCAAAAGCTCAATTTTAGTCTCATCTGACCAGAGTACCTTCTTCCATATGTTTGGGGAGTCTCCCACATGCCTTTTGGCGAACACAAAACGTGTTTGCTTATTTTTTTCTTTAAGCAATGGCTTTTGTCTGGCCTCTCTTCCGTAAAGCCCAGCTCTGTGGAGTGTATGTCTTAAAGTGGTCCTATGGACAGATACTCCAATCTCTGCTGTGGAGCTTTGCAGCTCCTTCAGTGTTATCTTTGGTCTCTTTGTTGCCTCTCTGATTAATGCCCTCCTTGCCTGGTCCGTGACTTTTGGTGGGCGGCCCTCTCTTGGCAGGTTTGTTGTGGTGCTATATTCGTAAAAAATTTTAATCATGGATTTAATGGTGCTCCGTGGGATGTTCAATGTTTCAGATATTTTTTTATAACCCAACCCTGATCTGTACTTCTCCACAACTTTGTCCCTCACCTGTTTGGAGAGCTCCTTGGTCTTCATGGTGCCGCTTGCTTGGTGGTGCCCCTTGCTGAAATCCAAATAAAAATCCATTTAAATTACAGGTTGTAATGCAACTGTCACGATCGTCGTTAAGAGAG